ACACAGGACTTCCAAAGTCTCCCAGTAGCCGTCTTTTTGACAGCTCTCCCCCCCCCCTCAATAACCCCTGCAATTCAGGAAACAATCCCCCAAAAGAGTTTGTTTTCCCACCAGATTTGTTAAAAAGGGACCACAAACTTTGTACCTTTACACACTTTTAATAGTGCTACGCTCAGCCGTTCCAGGACCAGTCCAGGACCAGCACCTATGAGTTTGGTATGCCAAAAGATCAAAACGGCTACCTAGTTTTTTACTTTAGAATTATCTCTAGTACTCGCCTTTATAATGCAGAATTACAACGTAACAAAATATATTATCATAAAATAATGACAGAAAAACTACAGCTCAAAACAGACAGTCAAAGTTATGAGGAGCAAGAGTCCTAGCCGACGACTGATGTCTCTAAGCTTAAAAACTAAATCTCTGGGGGTCCTAGTGTTTAAATAACATTATAAGGAAGATCAATAGTAAACACTTCAGTCTCAATCTGTTACATGTATAAGTGTTTAGGTTTGGCTCTCGAACCTCAGAATGTTTAGAATAAAAGTTAAAGAAGACCCTGAGTTTGTCGCCTCTGTGGTTTGAAACTTTCGCATGACCCTGTCCCTTGTCCAGTGACAATCACAGAACCTCTTAAACCTGATCTTTCAATCAATGATTTATAGGGTTCTGTCTTAACACAGAAGATCACTTTCTTTCCACTTACCTCAGTGTGCCCCAGCGCATCTGTGGCTAACAGTAGTATTTTAGACCTTTGTGTTTTGGAGTGGACGCCTTTTGAGAGAGTGGCTATGTAAAACCCCTGTAAAAAAAGCAATAATAATGGTATTATTATTATAGTTGTTGTATTAATAAAGAACTCCGTGGGGGAGATTACAGAGTTATTCTATAAACGAAAGTCAGGTACCCCCCAGTTTTATAATCAATATCACATGTCGGATCCTATTTGCATTACACTCACTTTACTTTCGTAGATGTAAAAGAGGCTTTTGTCCATTTTCCCAATAGTTTTCCATACCCAAGGTGTTTATCCGATGTTTATATAATTCTCTAATAAACCAACAATAGATATAGAAAAAAAACCCCAGCAGGGACGTGCGGTGAGGTTTTGGTGATTGGAGAGCACTGGACTTTAAAAGTCAGATTTACAATCATTTCATTCAAATAAAAAATACATATAATCACCAATGCAATGACATCCACAAACTTTATAACCTGAAAAGATAAGAGAACCAGCTCTCTTTAATAACACACAACTAATCTAGCTGCTGACTCTGCACCGCATCATACACACTTTTAAAAGCGCAGGTGCGAGAGAACGTCCGAGGAGAGAGAGACGCGAGGAGATAGGAGCAGTAGCAGAAGATATAGCGTTCGAATCCTGGTCTACCCATAATCAAATTTTGTGTTGCAAAGTAAATGTATTTATTTATTGGGAATAAATGGTTTGTTGTGTTTAATTAATCCACCTCTTGGTAGTTTTTCCTCCATTAATCACTTTCTGTAGAACTGTATTACTTTGGATGTGTTTGTTGTATCAACACAATTGACTGAAAGACTCAAATAGTTCATAGTTCATGAAGCATCATTTCAAACACAACACGTTAGACCATAGATTGTAAATATACATTTTAACATTAGATCTCACCATTCATTGTAAGCACTTAAGAGTGTTATGTATTTTTTTGTCCACATGATGGCGTAGTGGAGCATGATTCACCTCGAGCCTTCGACTCATGGGCCGAGTAATAGGCTGCTATCCCTCAAGGCTTCATGGGGCTTCATATTGCCATCACTAGTTTAAAGCTTGGGAAATCTTTTTGTATCCAAATCCGGCTTTAAACTTCTCCACAACAGTATCTCGGACCTGCCTGGTGTGTTCCTTTGTCTTCATAGTTCTCTCTGTGCTTTAAACAGAACCCTGAGACTATCAAAGAGCAGGTGCATTTATACGGAGACTTGATTACACACAGTTGCATTCTATTTATCATCATCAGTCATTTAGGACAACATTGGATCATTCAAAGATCCTCACTGAACTTCTGGAGTGAGTTTGCTGCACTGAAAGTAAAGGGGCCGAATAATATTGCACGCCCCACTTTTCAGTTTATTTGTTAAAAAAGTTTAAATTATCCAATAAATTTTGTTCCACTTCACGATTGTGTCCCACTTGTTGTTGATTCATGACAAAAACTTAAAATTGTATATCTTTATGTTTGAAGACTGAAATGTGGCAAAATGTTGAAAGGTTCAAGGGGCCCGAATACTTTCGCAAGGCACTGTATACAGACAGAGTCACGAAGCGTCTCAGGAGACTCAGGTTCATGTTCATGTGGATTTCTTTACGCACAGGTTAAATCTCACTGAGGTGTGCATTTTTTTCCAGGGGCCATAGTTTGGACAATGACTCGATAATTTGTTAGTCTGGTCAAATGAGGCAACACTGCAGGCTATACTGGGTTGTGCCTGGTGGCACAGGAGACACATAGAAATACCAGATTAATTACCTTGCAGAGGGAATTAGAAATTAGACAACTAGCCTCTTTGGGATCTTCAAAGGCACTTTAGAATTTTGACTTGCATTATTATTACACTCATCTAAACATTCTTCACCTCCATCGCACCATGCATTTTAGTAAAATACATTATTTATTTATAAAAATCCTTGTGTAATCTTAAGTATGATGGTGAAAGGTAAGGTGCATAGAGGGTACTGAATGTTGAGGGCTACTCAAAAATTCCGGCTCTTAAGAATAATGAATACTGCAAGCGGTGATGAATGGCCTTTGCTTAATCATGCAACTGTTAAAAAGGAGGTGGTTGGTTGTGGGGTTGGTTATATAACCTGACATCTGCACATACTGTACATGACATACGCGAATTCATTTGTGCATTAGGTTTAAAGGTATATAGAAGGATTTTCCCAAATTTCAGGAAAGAACTGGCAAGGGCCTGAAATGTATTTAAATGCTTTTCCAGCAGAGGTCACTTTTCTCAGTAGCCCTGCACTAGAGCCATCATAAAAAAGCCTATTAATCATTATGAATTTTATTATGAATTGTAATAATAAATGATGAAATGTTATTGTTTTTATCAGCGTGTTGCCCTGTCTTTCTGATAGAAACAAATGTGTGGGACGCTTGTTGTTTGGCCATGTGCAGAGATATGGCCAAGATAAGATTACACTGCATTACTCAGTCTTTGAACGTTGTGCTCCGTTGCTGTAACACGCTTTAGATGCTGGAATTTGACTAAAAGCACATTATTTTTTAAACACACAATAGGGCGTTTAAGTTGTTGTTTATAGTCCATTAAGTTATGCTTAATGGACTATAAAGTAATCTCTTTTGTAACCCAAAGCAATGCTATTGAACCACAGTGGTTGGTGGCTGCACTAAGACAGGAGTTTACCATGTGACTCACAGTGGTGACTCAGTTAGGTGGAACTGTACCAACATGAACAGCTTAGGATACACCAGGTATTAGTACTTTAGTCCTACTTCCAGTCACCATGGTAACCACCAGGAAACACATTGCAAGCAGTGACATGAGCGAAGTGAAGTGGAAGTCCCAGTATGTCTTATGTTGGGTCAAAACACTGCAGTTCACAGAAGTTATCTCAAGGTTTGCAATGATGGAAGCAAGATGAGATAAAGAATAACATGTCCCAGTTGAAAGTATGTAGGGAATTGATAAGTGCAGGAAGCAGGCACACCAGCAAGTGACAACACTGACGCACAGAAGCGCACTACCGCTCCCTGTGACATCACAAGCGACTCTGTTTGCGTGATAGAGTGGTGAACACGGCACTGCACTTGGTTACTGTTGCCTGTCAGCGTAAACAAACAAGGTGAACCTGGGAATTTTCTCTCAAAATGTTAAGAAAGTCCAGGACAGGTGGATTGCCATGCTCTGACTGGAGTGAGGAACGCCCTGAGGAATGCTCAACAAATCTTGGAAAATATTTTGGGAAATAAAAAAAAGGAAGAAATATACAGGGGAATGCTGTGTAGCTATTCACCAAAGTATGTGCAATTTTCAGTGTTTTCCCAGAATTAATGCATAATGTATAGAGCAATCACAAGGGGGATATTCAGAGGTGGTGTCTGTCTTCAGGGAGTCTACAGGAAGAAAAAAATGCCCCTGTCTGATTTTTCTTGAATGTCTATTGTGGTGTAAACTTTGGTCATAACAGATGATATAACATGTCCAAATGAAAATAGAGAAAATGGTAAATGTGTTGAACAATCTCTTCTTCTCACTCCCTTTTCAAGTTTTTGGCATGTGTTATGTATTGTTGCTCACATGAATTGCTGTTTAATGTAAATACATGTAACAATGCATGTACATGTTTAGAAGACATTGTAAATGTGCAAAGTCGAATAAATATAAATCTATGAAGGCAAAATAAAAGTAAAAAAGGTGAAAGTGAAGGCAGGTGTAACAGTGCAAAAGTGTCCCTGTGCAAACAAACCAAATCCAAAATATCTGTATTAAAATAATAACGTTAAGTGCAAAAAGAAAGTAGGTCTACATACAAGCAAAATGCATGTAAATTAGAAATGTGGTAACAGCACAAAATTGACTGGACTAGTTTAACTTATCCAATATAATTATATTCGTCATAACTGTGCCAGCTATAGGTCAAAAGTATTCTAGTGGGCTGGTGATATTTTTGAATGAATAATTCCCCCCACACCATGGGGTATCTGTTTGGCTTCAGGTGTGCCCTTTTCATTCATGCTTCTTGCAGCCCATTCATTAGAATAGTTGTTTCACTGATTTGTATTGCAGCCTGCATAACAAGTGAACAGAGGTGTCTAATAGGAAACTACAAGCTCTTATTCTGAGTATATTTTGGGGATTTTTTTCCTCACAAAAGCACAGCATTAATTCCCCTCAATGGAAATCCCCAGGAGCAAACCCCGCCTACAGCCTCGATCTTTAACACGGCGCGCCTCCCTCCTCTGCTCATTCTCGCTCTGAAGCTCAGACACAACATGGACGTGCACAGAGTATCGCACCACTCCAGAACGGAATATACTTTGGGCAACATGGAAGAGAAGCTGCCTGGGAAAATGCTGCCCTGTCAGGAGGACCGCCTGGACAGCGGCGTGGACTCAATAGAGGACGATCTGGTCAAGGACTTGGAAGAGTTGAAGATGACCGATAATCGGGAGTTTACGCATGAATACGAACCATGGAGGGCAATAGTCACGGACGACGGAGACACGTAAGTGCGCTTGTTTTCTCCGATTATCCTGCATTGTCCTGCTTTTGGTTTTACGCACACTTTTACGCACATGAGTTCAGATGCAACATTATAGAAATATGCAAACGCACATGAACAAGTGCAGTTGTAAACATGTTTGCAAGGGAAGTAGATATTTCAAGTATGCGCGTGCATAGCAGTGCTTTTCAGGCCTGCGTGTGTACTTTGGCTGAGAGCGCAGATGGGGCGGAGTTCAGGAAAGTCCCTGGCGCCGCGCCAGTAACTGATAAAGCATCAGATGTGTCAAGCCACAACTGGTGGAAATAACCCGACAAAACTCCAGTCTTGCGAAACGCTGTGCTGCACTGGCTTTGTTCTTTCTTATATAGCTGGAACCACTTCCTCTGTGGGCAGTTTTAAGTGCTATTTTAACTCACTTCTTTCTCTCCCCTTCCACCAACAGGCTTTTACATCTGGCCATCATTCATGAAGCTCAAGAACATGTCCTTGAGATGATCAAGCAGTCCCACAATCACCCCTTCCTCAATGTACAGAACCACCAGAGACAGGTAACCATCTCTACAACAAAGGAAAAGTTAAGCATTCCATCACAAATATGCAAAATAAAAGTAACGCTGTGCCTCCTTCTTCCCTAGACGGCATTGCATTTGGCAGTGATCACAGAGCAGCCACAGCTCGTGGAGAGACTACTGAAGGCTGGAGCAGACCCCAGGTTAGCCGACAACAGCGGCAACACGGCCCTGCACATCGCCTGCAAGAAGGGCTCTCTCGCCAGCTTCAGCGTCATCACACAGAACTGCCACAACCACCTCACCCAACTCATGTCCTTCCCCAACTACAGCGGTAAGGATTATCACAAGACCCTGCGTGCAAACACTGACAATGCACTTTGAATATGGACTCACGTCTTCTTGTTTCTCCATGCAGGACACAACTGCCTTCACTTGGCATCTATAAACGGTTATGTATCACTTGTGGAGAACCTTGTAGCGCTGGGTGCAGATATCAATGCACAGGTAAATGGGCAACCAATCAAAATCTTTTTTAAGAACAAATAATCTGTCTTAAAAATACATCAATCTAATGTGATGTATTCTTTCATGTCCACAGGAGCAGTGCAGTGGAAGAACGGCTCTCCACTTGGCGGTGGACTTCCAAAATCTGTTGTTGGTGCGTTGCTTGGTAGAGCTGGGAGCAGACGTCAACAGCTCAAACTACGGAGGCTTCACGCCGTACCACCTCACATACGGTCGGCAAAATGACGAGATACGCCAACGATTGTACCACAAGACGCCGCAAGAGCTGAGGCCGCTGCCCATGAGCGACTCGGAAGAAAGCGAAATTGAGGATTTGGACTTGTCAAATGAGGAGGTCAGTATTTGGAATTAAATGAAGCTGAGAACTTTTTAGGAAAAAAATATGAAAATGCATTGGTCATAACATTTCTTTGCTTTTACAGTTTTATAACGACATCAAGTTTGGGAATTAAAGGAATGGAAACAAATGGAGAAACATGTGAAGCTGCTATATCAGGGCTGTCCAGTCAAAGCCAACACCACGGCCGCCAGAGGTCCAGAAGTGCTGGCCGGACCAATGCGAATGAAGAAAGTGAGGCCATTGCCAAATTGGTCCAAAGCAAGTGGAGATTGATTTGCAAATAAGCAAAATTATGAACTCTGACAGTCCCTTATTGTAAAAATGTATAAACTATATATGACGTGTATATAAAGAGATGTAATATAATGTAAATACAGAGATACTATTTTTGTATTTGTGAATATAAACGTGTGAATTTAAACATTATTCTGACAGAATAAAAGAAAACATTTTGAAACATTGAATTTCTGGTCTTGCTCAATCTGTGACATAACGGTAGAAAGTACAGTGCACTCTAGCTTACATGGACGATGACAAACTTAATAGTCATTCCTCATTCCACAAAATGTATCATTCTAAACCAGACTGGGGTTTCCTTTACTCGGGGCGAGGTCACTGGGTCTGTGAGTCACACAACTGAAAGTCCCAGATCGACACCAGAGGAACAAAATGTACAGAAAAGTTTAGACAGTAGCACAATGTGTTTTGTACCAAGATTGGAATTCTCAAAAGTTACAAAACCATAATTGTGCCAAGTCACTGCAACAAGGAAATAGCCAGAGTGTGGGAAGTTACTGTGGTCACATGATAGTGGAAGGGATACGTTAGTGTTTTGTGTTTGTGCCGTAAAAGATAAGATGTCACAGTTAAAGCTGCCAGGATGGAATATAACATTTAGGACATGTACAAACCTCTATTACTCTCTATAGAAAATAGGCTCAAGGGAGGAATCTTCCACAGAAACCATGGAACTCTTTTAACTGGGAATAAAACACCTATTAGTTGTTGTATATGGCCTGTACTGTATGGGAATGCTATCAATTGCAAAAAATGTGAAGTTCCAAAAGCCTGTACAATGTCCTTCTATAACAGTTGGACCAATGCAGTTTTATCTGCTAAATCACTAACTGGCATAATCAATCAAAGTTGATTTGTATAGCAAACATTATACAGAAAGCCATTCAAATCTGGGGGATTTTTTGAAGAAGTCACCTGCACTTTAGTCAGTGATTATTGAACAGGTGATTCAGGTAATTTCCAAGTGAAACATGCTCGGTCAGCAGTCAGGCTCAGTCTGAAACTGAATGGAAAGGAAACTGGACAATAGAATAGTGCTTGAGTAACGGGAAACTGGATGGTGACATATTTCAACCAAAGTCAGGTCTCTATTCATCATTGTAAAAAGTTGTCTTTTCCAGGCTGGAATTCACCCCACTGCAGGAACGAGTCTACATTTAAATTATACAGATGATGTCAGTTGGTACTCTAACCTAAAGAGTACGGAGTCACAACAAACATATAAACAGGACTGTTCTTACAGCTGCCAACTTCAAATAAAATCCTTTGTTACAAACCATGTCACCCCATACCTCATTTACAAATTTACAATTAGTTCTTGTTTCTTTTACATTTGTCGTGCACCATGAGAAATAAACTAGGTCAAACCAGTACAATGATAGTTGTTATAGCACTGCCCCACCACAGGTCTGGTGTGAGTACATGAAGCCACAACAGGAAGTGTACAACTCTGCAGAGCTGAGGTTCCCACAAACCTACAGCATCTAAATCTGAATAATGAAACCCATAAGATTACTTTGCCAGGGTACGCTATATATACTTTTCACTATAACGGCGTTCCTTAATTAGCTGACGCAATGATGAAAATAATTCAAAGACACACCTAGAGTTTCATTAGAATTTCATGTCTTCATGACAATGTTTATCACTACTTTGAAAAGAATTTGTGAAGGAGGTGTTCTTCATTTCTACATGGTTGCATATCAAACAAAATCTACTTTCTTAATTCTCTACAAAGCAAAAATTTTCTTCAAAAAAAAAAAAAAAAGTTCGATTTTACTCCAAAACATGTTTATTTTTTTGAATGAAACAATGGGGTAAACATACAGAAAAACAAAAATAACACCAGTCTCTTCATGGGATTTCCCCTCATGCTCCATTTTAGTCCATCTTTCTGGTGCTCAGTCCCGCTCTGCCAGAGCCATGAGGTGGACGTCCACATCAGTCTCTGACAGGATCCTGCAAACAAGAGCCAAATTATCATGAGTCTTATTATCCAATCATTCATTGTAAGAACAAAGAAATAGATGGCTGTTTCGATCACGACTACAAATTCATAAAGCTAATGGGAATAGGATGAGATTAATAAAAGGATCCCATTGTCATTTGGCCATTCAATTTTTATGAAGTTGAAAAATAATTAATGTTTCTTGGTAGTATAAAAAGCACAGAACATTGAATTCAGAAAAAAGGTTAATTAAATAAAACTGTGGTTATTTGTAGAGATGAGATGTCTGAATGTGATAAGCTGAGCAGCGGATCCTGGGGTCACTTTCTTGTGTAAAGAAAGTGACCCTTTGAATTCTATTTTTTACTCTTTTTATTTAATACAAGCAACGCATTTTGACGAGCTTCCTAACATCCATAGCAATAGAGTAAATATTGAAATGTACCTGAATTTGGGATCCTGTGTAGTAACAACGCCCACCTCCAGCTCAGAGGGCTTGAAGTCAATAGAAAGAACGGTCGAGAGGCAGGAAATGGCCGTCTAAAGACAAGAGTGGACATTGTGATATCTCAAGTGTGGTTTACTCCCACTTCCACACTCGCAAAAATTTAAGACAGTTGTTTCTATACCTCCACAGTTTGCTCAAACGTCCAGTCCAGTTTCTTTTTGACTTTCTTTTCAAGGAAACTCGTGGCTTCTGTCTGCTTCACCCCAGCAGCGGTGGCCTTGAAGCCGCAGTAGTATCCAGCCGGGTCACACTTGTAGACCTGCGGGCCGAACTCTGCGTCTACTCCAATGACGATCATACCTGCACAGAGCCCAGAGTTTCTACAGAATACTATATAACTCCATCAACATATATGACCTTCACATATCATTATTTTTGGTGGAATCAAAACTTATAAAGCTACAAACAAAAATATAGTTTTTGTTTGTAACGTTTTTTAATGATCTGCCATCAATCACACAAATCATCAACTCAACTGTCCGTTTGGCATGTTATACCTCATTTTGAACATTTTTCAGGTATAAAAGCCACATCATTTAGTTTCTTCTATATAAAAAAATGAACCAAAAATGAACCAAAATAATAATAAAAAAACCTCCATAATGTGACAAAGCATATTAAAAAATAGTAAGAGCTATAAACAAAACTTCCCATCAAGGAATCATGTTATAAAATGGTGCTGATCCAGTTATCAAAAAGAACACTTGTTTGTGTAGTTATAAAGCAGACAGACAACCTGGACGACTTCTGATTTACAGAAGTAGGTGATGACAAGTTCTTGAATTTACGACATCACTGTGGTGAATAATATAATTTATTAAACAATTAAATAAATAAAACATTTTAAAAAAATGCAATTAATCAAATTGTAATTTCTGAGATCAGTCGAGGAGTTTCACCAGCATAAACTAGGCCAACACACCCGATAGTCGCTTGCATGATGCGATCTACAACAAGCAAGTAAATGTATAAATCTTTTAAAAAAAATGAAATCTGATGATGGTATTTGTATCTTCATAAAAATGTAGTGTGACCTATCATAGGCACTTCAAAGACAAGCACATGATTGTTTACGTACAACAGCCCAGTGGCCTCATCTCGGCGTTCTGCGTGTAAACTTGGGAGATGTCAGCCATTCTCTTGCACAACATGTCCACGGGGATTTCATAACCGTACTTGTACTGCCAATTAGCCGCTTCATAACGAGCTCTCTGCACTTGAGATCGGCTGTCGGCTGGAGGGACAGAAGACAGACCATTGATTACATCTACTTTTGGAACAGTGAATTCACAAGATCATAACATAAAAGGCAGTGAAACATAAATATAGCAGCAAGTTTTAATATTTTATCATGACCTTAGACTGTAGATAGATAAGCAATGCTAACCCTCTAGCTCAATAAAACCCAACAGGGTTAGGGTTTGCTCCAACTCACATCATTTGAGCCTATCCCTATCACTCACCATTTTTGGACCACTTTGGAAAAGAAGTGGTTTAGCACACTATGATCCTGGTGCTAACATTTTGATATTGTCTCTATAGATGTACAGTAGATATGAGCCATAAAGATTGATAAATAAGATTACTTTATGCATGAGTGATACCACAGCTTGTTTTCTATTTACCATAGAAATATGTCTGCCACTGTGACAGCGCATGGCTAACGCTATAAAGAAATTAGCTCCAGCTAGCTTAGTCTTCTACCGCTTTAAGCAAACACTATGGGAGACGTCAACACTCAGCACATAATATACGGCCTATGGTCATGATCAGTGCATAAAAAGCACCCTTTGTATTCCTAGACAAACGTGATTTGTTCATGAGCGTTCATGTTTGTTTTTACATCAAGTTTTTCCATTTACCTGTCATTCCAGACATTACGCATCCAATATTATCTGTTATTCTGAAAAGATGAGTGACTGTGGCAGCGTCCAAAAGCTTGTCCTGGAAAATACAACCGATATCATGAACTTGTCCGTTGCTAATAAAAAGGTCACATTTTGATCTTCAAATCAAGTTGATGCACTTATGTAAAGTAGAATGACTGTAAAGTTGTATCTGTACATTTTGTGGCAGCCCAAGCAGACAAGTCTGAGCCCAGTGGCTTAGCCCTGACATGAATAAAAGACCCAGAGTACTCACCGGTACTTTTTTCTGTGTTACAACAACCGCACAGTCCTTCCCTCGAACAGCCACTGACGTGAGCCCTCCCTGGTTTATGGCCTTGAAAGCATATTCTGCAGAGGAACACAAAACCTTTTGTTTGCAAAGCGATTCAGATTCCACTTATTCATCCATCCATTTTCTAGGACATGTTGTGAATATATCAGAACACAACATGCTGTCCATCGTAAAAAGAAACCTCTTTACCATCTTTAACCTACTGAGAGCTGATTGCCTGAGTAAGGATGGTCCTCTTCTTTTCAATTTTCTGTCTGAAAAAGCTTATTTGACATGAAATGCATGTGAAAAGAGCTAAACAGTTTGTTAACAGCCTTACGATGGATTTATTACATAGTTATATTTAGAAAGTTGTAATAAATGTGTGAAGTTTAGGATATTTTTTAGCTCCATTAATTTTGCAAAACACATAATTGCCATGATATTTAATTGTCATCATGATATAATTTAGTGGCCATATCGCCACTGTGGGAGAATAACTTATTGTTTTAATGCAGTCAGGGAATTAACCCCGTTATAACATAACCCCTGCTTTATAAACAGGTCACATTCATTGACACACAGCACAGTTTGTATAATGAATCAGCTTGGTCAGAATGCTAACAATGCTAATATGCTAACAGCTAGCTTGTCGTTACCATAACACCCGGGGTTTAACTATATTTTAGCAACATCCAGCGATTGAAAACATTGTAAGACGAACAAAATACTACTTTTATCTATTGTCAAGTTTTGCTTTTACTCCTGTAGGATATAATGTTTCACTTTGCGCGGAGCCAGGCTAAGCCAACCATGACAGAGCATTTAGCTTGTTAGCCGGAGTGAGACCCGGCTGCAGCCTGACATTATCATAGAGCCAGCCTGATCACCGTCCACACTCACCGACTTGATAGAGTCTCCCTTCGGGGGAGAAGATGGTGATGTGCCGGTCAAAGCCTGCGCTCGAGCCCCTGGACATTATGGACAGTTCAGTCACAACAGGATGGAGAAGAGAGTTCAGAGAGATGAGAGAGTCTGCAGGAGTTTACTGAGAGGTTTACATGGACCGTGCACCCGGAAACTGTCAAGTGTCAACACGGACCTCTTCCGGGTCACGGGGAATGTTGTGTTTATTTCGTTTATTTAGTTCACAATTCACTTACTTATCTGCTATTTATTCTGTCCATACTGTCTAAGGTCCATATTCTTATCATTATACGTCAAACTCTCTATATAAAAACTATACTTCCAGCTATGACTTTAACAGAGAGTTGTGTTATAATAAAACAGTCCAGCAATCTCTTTTTTTTCCATTTAATTTTATGTTTCATTCCTATCATTCTGTAACGTGTGCAGCAAGCAACAAGGAATATACCCCACTATGAGATACATTTGTGACCTGTTTCATCATGTTGATACTTGTTAGGCCTAAAAAGTAATTATATTGTCGCCTTTCCATCTTTTGGAGTTGGAATAGGCCCGTACAGATTCTAATCCACAGTAGAGCTTTATAAATCTTTTATTCAATGTGTTCTAGTGCCCATGTATTTGAGTATTTGGATGAGCCATTTGAGGGTTTTTTTTTGGTTGGTTAAACAACAAGTAAAACAATGCTTGTTGGCACGGTGGCTGAGTGGATAGCACTCTCGCCTCTCAGCAAGAAGGTCCTGGGTTCGAATCCCGGTTGGACCGGGGCCTTTCTGAGTGGATTTTGCATGTTCTCCCCGTGTCTGCGTAGGTTTTCCTCCGGGTGCTCCGGTTTCCTCTACCACTAAAAATATGTACAATAGGTCTGGCATGTGCCTCCTGTACTGGCGACCCCCACTCCCAAAAATAACAATTGTAAACCGCTTTGAGACTCCGATGTGCAGTGAAAAGGCGGTATATAAATAAAGATTACTTACTTACTTATTACTTACAATGAATAGTGTTTTCTTTGCCTCAATCCCTGTTCCTTAAAGAATTTCTATTTTCTGTCATGAGTGCCTCAGATTTTCTCCTTTTGCCAATGTTTCTAGTGTTTCTGTCACTGATTCTGATGAACACCTGACTAAGATAGACCCACTGTAGCAGCCACCTCTCTTGACCTATTATTTTATTCATATTTTAGTGTAGAGAGGTGGCTATGTTATGTCTCAGATATGTTGCAAGAAAAAAGAAATACATGTGTAAAATCTGTCCAGGAGTGATAAAATGCAGAGAGCCGATTTTTTTAGGTTGTGATGAAGACCAAGTCCAGATCAAGTTTACAACATTAAGATGTTTCGACACCTGGTCCCAATTTTCTGTTCTGCCACAACAGACTTATTTAAGTTTCTTATAGACTATAATCTTCGCTAGACACGATAAAGTCCGATGAATACCACAAAGAAATTAATTCAGAATGAAAGAACTAAGAAATAAGAAATACATTTAATACAATAGTTGGGCATTCACTTTTATTCAAGTTAAATAACCTTTTCAAAAAGTGGCATTTTTTTATAGCGCTGCTTCATCTCTGTTCCTTTTTCCTTGTAGCTGAATAAAGCAGTCGACTATAATTGTAATGTGGGCTTTCCCTGCACAGGTAGGCTATATAGTAAAGAGTTCTATTTCCCTATTACAAATATGATCATGAGTCATCTGGCCTTGCGTTTGTGGTATCATGAGCATAATTAAAATGTGGCCGTTGTACAGCAAGGAATATACTGGCTTTATAACTTCAGCGGAATGACCAGGAAAAAGCCCCAGCCAAACGATAAGATGTTAATATTCTTGCGAGATACCGTAAACTCTTTCCAGCATTTAAAATCTCTATTGATCTGCATCTGAGCTTTGTGTTCCCATAAACAGAACACTTGCAGTCTGCATGAACCAGTGGAAATTCAAAATGGGAAGTAGTAGTAGTAGTGTCAGAGCAACCGCATCTTGGGTTTTGCGGAATTTAAATGACTCAAACGTTTATGAAATATTGTCAATACGCCATGGCGCATAAATGATGATGGGAAACAATAAATAAGACAAAATACAGATACATTTTCCTTAATAGGTCACACATTCATCGGCCTCTTGCAGAATAAAAAAGCCATGGGCAGAGGGAATGGACATGGGAGGGACGGTGATGGACGTGGGACAGACTATGATAATACACCGTGACATTTTTCTACATTTATGTCCTTCTGTTTACAACCATAAACATCAAGATTTTATTTACACTTTTTTTACTGAAAGTTCTCATAGAATAACACACAACTGTGACGTGAAAGCAAAATTATATGTTATTTTGTTATTATAAAAAAAAAAAAAAGGAGTGCACAAATATTCATACAGTATTTACAGCCTTCCTAATGACTGCTTAATGTTCACACCCTGCTCCCAAACATTAATTAGACTATATATGGGTTGTAAACAGGAAAAAGTGTGCAAAGTTCAAGTTGTATGAGTACTTTAGAGAGCTGCTGTATATCTGCTATACTAGGCCTTTTAAACCTATTATACTGTGATACTTTTATTTTCCTAATGCTCAAGAAAAAAAACCGTTGAAAAAGTAATGCACTGATATATTGTATTATTGCATTGATAAAAAAAGTAAGTAATTAAGTCATCTTTATTTGAATAGCGCCTTTTACAGGCCAGAGTCATAAAGCAAATAAAAATAGGTGTACATATATAAGAAATAAAACATGTCTTCTCTACGGCATCCTCTCTGTTCACCAGCGTCACTGTGTTAGTAATCCGGGTTAAAATCTACAAAAGCTTGCTGAATTTCTTTAATACATGCGGATTCATGAACATTCTGGTATATGTCGGCAAATAATCTGCAATATAAGCATGTGGAAAAACGGCATGAATGTGTTGAGTCATATGTCAGGGTCAATCATATACTGTACATGCAGCTATAAAAATATAAATAGGTCTTCCTGAATATGAGAGACAAGGCTTTGAAAACTGAACACAATCTTATGAATAAATGTGCCGAGATTATTCATGTGTCACTCATTCACATGATTTTGTATTTCTGCTCCTGTGGGTTAGGAGATGAACCAAAATGCATTTAAGTGCAGTGATTAAATTCAGCCTGAATTTCAAAGCTACCCTCCCACGTCCCTCCCCCTTCTTTCACAATAGTACCTCTCAGTTTTAACATGCACCTTTCATATTCAACACTCATCACTAACTTAAAAGACAAAAAAAGACCCCCACCCCCATTTAGCTAAACATTCTGTGTGGGAGTCAGCCTCAATGTGTGGGGGGGGATCTCCACTGTGCATTCAAAATAGCATTTTCACTTTGCAAAGCAGCACTTGGCTAATGTTTTCCAATCAGAGGATTTTAGAAGTGTAGCAATAAAGGACATTTACAGAACTTATTGTGACTCATTTTCTTTACACGTGTTTTTCAAAATGTTAACCTTTTCCGATAACTGTCATTATATTTGAGTTCTCTATGAATATTATATACATGGTTTCTGAGAAGCACCGCCGGCTTTGTGGGAACTCTTATCTGCAGCAGTGACAAAGAGATTGTACATTAATGATAATTTATTTTAGATCAATGTGTGCTCTCTTCCCAGCATCATGCACTTGTTAGTATTAGATAGCAAAATGGCCTACGTGCAGGACTGTACAAGGACTCTGATTATTTTGACTATGATGTGCTCTGTCTCTTTGTGACACGTATGTCTTTCGATGTGTGACGTGACAGTGACTATTTAAACTGTGTACTGACTCCATTTTGTCTGAGAGAAAGAAACAATGAAAACCACTGGAACTTGAGAGAAACTTAAATAAACTTCCAGAGTTTGGCGCACCACGATCCGTCTCTGTCTGCTAAATCATGACAGATTTGGTGTAGGATGCGCGGCTCAGTGTGCGCCAAACTCTGGAAGTTTATTTAAGTTTCTCTCAAGTTCCAGTGGTTTCCATTGCTATCTAATACTAACACACTGTAATAGAAATTCTATTAACATAATTCAAGTTTTATTATTGTTCATTTTTCTACAACAAGGAACAAACACATGTCTAAGGCAGAAACAAACCAAAATGAAATGTGAAATTGAAATAGAAAATTGAACAAAGCATAAAGATTGCATAGTTGAACATAATGTACTGCGTTTGAGATTTATGCAGCTAAAATCTGGAACAATCTTCCTGAAGATGTGAGGTTTTTTCATTACTTGTGATTTGATTCTGTTTTTAATGTATTTATTGTTTGTATATGTAGATTTTGATGTTTCTGATTTGTCTGATATGATGTGGGTTGTGTTGGAAAGGCGCCATACAAATAAAGTTGATTGATTGATTGATTGAATGTACTGTACCTGTGCCGGTCCACAGTACAGTTCCACGGGTCAACGGTACCGCCTCCATAGCGGGGGGCCATGCTCTCTCACTGCTCTTTGCTGTCCAGGGGAAAGCAAAGCACTGGACAGACTTTACCCTTCATGGAGAAAAGAACGGTTAAGTCCTATGAATAACTTTGAACATGAAAATAATTACATTACATTAAATTGACAGTTTGACACAGAAGATGACAAGGGATTCACAAATGTTCTTAGTTTTGACTCAAAGGCAGTAAAGAATCAACTTAAACAGCTCCATTTCTTAGTAGCGTGTTCTGAGATTTTTTCCAAACGGAACAGCGAGCAATGAATGCAAAGACCTTCAAATCAGTAAAGTCCTCTGCCGCTACACGTGTTTCTTTTAAAACTATTTCTTTTAGCTCCTTTCACAACATCCAGTTCAAGATTTACATTGTTTCTTCCATATATTCAATGATTTCTACAAAGCCAATATGCATCATTCGTCCCAAGCATCAACTGAACTGATCACCACATAATATATTACCAACCTCCCATTTAAAGAAGCAGTATGTAAAAATTTGGCAAAAGTGGTACTGCAACCTCTCACACTCTCCCTGACTCAGGTTGCCAGATATGCGGACGAATCCAGCTGGGACCAGAATATCTGGAGAGACAAGAATTTTGTCAACAACAAATCT